GAGTACGCTAAATTATATATTCTATATACATCTTTCTTGCCTGATTTTTTTTTTTAATTTATTATGTAAAAAGTCGAAACCGAAAGTCTTACAATGCTCAGGTGTCATTTACCCAACCTCAGCGTCGCTTTCTGCTCGGCAGTGCTGTGGTCGGTTTAGCTGAGCTTTAAGTTCTGCCATGAGTAGAGGGCATTCACAGGTTACGATATACTTACTGCTCTCTCCTCAACTCCAAAACATCTCCTTATACGTAGTTTTAATACCACTTGTTACCGCTTACAACCTATACTCGTAGTGCGCCGAGCGCGAACGACGTGCGCCCGAGTACCAACGATACGGCAACTGCTGCATTGAGTGTTGCGCCGAGGCGGAGAGCGGCTGTTGTGGCGAATTTAGAGACAAAGAGCTACTCACCAATGCGCCCGGACTGCGCGCCAACTGCAGCGCTGCGGTTGTGTAGCGTGCATTGTTTCCCTGCTAGGAAGAGGGTGGCGTAGTGGCAGTTGAGTCGCTGTTGTGGCGCCGCGATATGCGTCGATTGAAGAGCGATATTGTCGATTGATTGATGTAGCCGCTCACACTACCAGCGCCACCGCTGCCATTGTTGCTGCTACTATTATTAATACTGCCGTTGCCACTGCTGGCGTCCAAAAACGCCTCGGGGCTGAAGCGCACTCGGCTGTGTTGCGATGAAATGGAGCCTTCTTTGGCACTTAAGTACGAACTGTCATCGCTGGTTAGTGAATCGGGTGGTGTAGGATTGTTGGGCGTGCCTTGCTGTGAAGAGACGCTGCCGCCACGCTTGGAGGTGACGCCACCGCTGGCTAGCGTCGTCAGACCATTGCTTGTGCTGTCAACGACATTTGGCGCATTTGTTGTGGCGTTGCCGTTAGGTGTCTTATAGTTATTATATTTCTTTAGTGACGAGCGCAACTTGTTGGCACCACTGCCGCCCCCGTTAAAGCCTAGCGCAGCTGTCGCTTGTTCGAAGGGTAACGAAACTGGTCGTTCTTGCGCGCTTAACGGTTTCATGTGTATGGGACTTAGTGGAGTTGATTGAGCATGCGTCGTATGCGTGTAGAGACTATGTTGTGGCGTGCTGAAGAGCGATTGATGTTGCTGCTCGCGTTCGCGCTGTATTTGCTGCAAATGCTGTTGTTGCGCTAACGTATTGTGGAATTTGGTTCGATGCAGTGGACTGCCAATGTATGCGGGCAAATTCTCATAGTCGCGTATGCGATTCAGTCCGCCGCCCGCTTCACCACCACCCATGCTACCGCCGGTGACACCGCGCTTCAAACGTTGCGCCATTTTTGGTGAGCTCTTGTAGAGCTCGTGCTTGCTGGGCGGCGGCACTGCGCCAATCGGTGCAGGTGGTGGCGGTGCTAGCTCGCGGTAGTGCGCATAATCTTGCAATCCTCCAGCACCACCGGCGCCCACACTGATGTTCAATTGTAGGTTGAGGCTGTTGTAATCATACAAACCAGTTGCGTGTAGCTCGTCGTGCTCCAGCGCGAAGTTCTGATTGATATTCGAGCTGTTCGAGATGGTCGAAGGTGTGCGTCGATGACCGCCGGCGCTGACGCCCATTTGTGGCACGCGCGGCGGCGGTGTGCGAGTTTGGTAGTGCGGCTGCGCTTGCTGATGCTTAGGCGTTGATTCCTGTTGCGGCTGTTGTGGATCATAATTGTAGTCATAGTAGTTGGGCAGACGATGATTGTAGTCGTAAGAGTAATCTGGATAGGACTTGCAGTCGCGCTGATATGCCAACTGCACCTCCGGGCGATACGGAAAGTAATTGGAGCCTTTGGGGCGATTTAGAAACATGAATATTCCTATTAAAAAGCTACAACATCTTTTACTTACCGAAATAACCAGCGCGATGTACGCCCGCGCCGTAAGCGCCGCCATCATTTGAGAAGCTCGGACCATGTCGTAGGTAGTCGGCGCGCGTGTACTGCGTGGCGGGCGGCGCCATGCCACTGCCGACATGAAAGTCATCGTCAAATGGGCGCGTCGGGGGCGTCTCATCATGCAGCGAATACTCGAGATTCTCGGTAAACGAGGAGGTGCTGATTTTGCGACGCGGCGAAGGTGTCGGCGGCTGTGTATGGCTGCCCAACGAAGAGGACAGCAACGCCGAGGTATTATTTGTGAAATTCGAGCCCAAACCGCTTGTTGTAGAGCCGGTAAGCGGCAGCTGTTGATGTTGATGCGTTTGCTTCTGCTGCTGCAACGCCAGCTTACTGCCGGTCTCGGTCGACGGTAGCGCATGCTGTTTCTGGAAGTAATAACTTGGCGCAGGCGCATGCAGTTTGGGCGAGCCGCGCGGACTCTGCTGCAAAGGTGCACGATGCTCCTCCAAACGCGCAAATGTAGCCGCATTCAATGTAGCGCTGTGTGTATACAAAAAAGAATAATTAAAACAAATATACTTGTCAGTGATATTCGCTTACTACGCTCCCAGCATACTCACCGATTATGCTTGTTGCCGCCGGTGCCGTGATAGGTGTTAGCCGCAAAGCGACTACGTTCATCCAAAACACTTGGAAAATCCATTTCCATAGGCGCCTTCAGCGCGGGCACATCACTCAGCAGCACCGGATGTACGGGCGATACATTCGAGATGCGCACATCGTAACCGGCGGCGACGCCAGCTAGCAGCGCGGCCATATTGTAAAGCAAAACCTCGATCACAGAGAGCTTCGGTTTGCGCACGGCATCGCCGGCATACAGTGTGGGCATGGGTATGTTGGAAGTGAGGCGGCTCAGCAGGTAGGGATTGGGCGACATGATCGGTAGCGGCGCATCGACGATGGAAGTACCGGCGCCGGCGGCGGCTGGCAGCGCGTGCAGCGGTGCGCACCAGTCTTTGGAATTGTAGCCTGTGTTGAGGCAGCATGTTTGGGGTTTTTAAGAAAATTTAAAAAATATTGAATTTTTATGCATGTATGTGGAGTAAAGGAAAAACAAAAACGAAGACGAAGACAAAGACGACGGATGCCGAGGGAGTTGTGTAAAATAAAGAACCGCAAACGAACCAAAATTAGAAATAAAAAAAAATTGAAAATTATATAAAATTACAAAACGAACCAACACCGTTATTTTTTTATTTGGTTAAGAAAATAATAAAACGCCAGTTTATGTGTAAATATAACTAAAATATAAACTATTTATTGTTGTTTTTCATATAATTTATTTTTTAGTTTTTTTTTTTTGAAAATTTCGTAGTTTTTTTGTTGTTTTTGTCTCGTTTTATAAAATGGAATTTTTCGTAGCTTAAATTTTAAATAGAAAGTGTTTTTCTTTAAGAATAGTGTAAAAATTACATTAAATGTTGAATTTCAGTTAGAAGTGGTATTCAATTTTATTCCACACTGTAGCTAAAATTGAAAACTAAAAAAAAAAGTATCTGTAAAAATTCTGCGACTTAAAAAAATGTATTAAAATAAAAATATTGCAGAAAAATATTTTTTCGAGCTTTAAGATTTTCAACAAGAATTTTTTAATGTAAATTTTAACAAAAAATGAATTAAAAGAAAAACAAAATACATTTTTCTTTTCGACGCAACAAAAGTAGTTTTATACAAGCAAATATTTTTTTTTCATAAAAAATATATTTCAAAAAAATAAATTAGTTTTTAATCCAAAAATTAAAATAAAAACATTTTTTAAAATATATAATTTTTTATGCAAAACTATAAATTTTACATATTTAAATATTTTTTCCAATTTTAAATAAAATTTTGTATAAACAAAAAAAGCTCTTTTTATGCAGTAAAATAATACCAATCAACGCCAATTATTTCCTTGTAAAATAAAATATAATTAATTTTTTGTTTACAAACATACATATGTATGTATGTATGTATGTATATAAATTTCTATGTGTAACAAATATAAAATGTTTTCTTTGAAAATTGGCAAAATTTTGTGATGTCGCCTATTGAAAAAAAAAAATAAATAAAATAAAAGTAAAAAAAAATTTAATAGAAGTAAAAAAATAGAAGTAAAAAATTAAAGATAAAAAAAATAAATAAAATAAAAAAAAAATTAGACAAAATAATGAAAGAAAACAATAGAATACATAAATAGTAACAAATAGATAAAAAGAAAATTAATTAAAAAGAAAAAACAAAATAATAAAAAAATAATAAAAGAATAAAAAAATTCAAAAAATATAGAAAAATTTAAATATAAATAAAAACTTTATATCCGTAATAAAATAAATAAAAAAAATAATAAAAAATAAAAAAAATAATAAAAAATAAAAAAAAAATAAAAAAAAAATAATAAAAAATAAAAAAAAAATAAAAAAAAAATAATAAAAAATAAAAAAAAAAAATAATAAAAGAATAAAAAAATTAAAAAAATATAGAAAAATTTAAATATAAATAAAAACGGATATAAAAAAACAATNTTAAATAAAATTTTAGGCGCTTATTGCGAGTACATTAAGATAATAAAAATAAAATGAGAACAATTTGCACAATTTTTCACAAAAAAAGTAATATTTTTTTTTACTTGGTCTCATTTTGTAATCACAGGTTTTCCAAAAAAAAAAAAAAAAAAAAAAAAAAGCGCAGAAAAAATTAAAATAAAATTTTGGAAAAATTTTTAATTTGCGTCTACGAAATAATTACAAATAAAAAAACAAAACAAACACAGTCGTAAATAAATATCAGGGACATATTTTTAACATTTTTTTTTTAACTTAAAAATAATGAAAAAATTCTTTTAGCGCCAACGGTAAGAAAAATTAACCGTTTTTAGGCACCAATTTTGTGGTGGAGTTGAAAACCGCAAACCAGACGCGTGTGTGTGTTGAATAACTGTTTACATTTAGTTACATATACATATGTATTTATTTTACTGCTTACAATGGTTTAAACTATTGTTTTTTTTTCGCGTCTATTTTTTCTGCTATCTTTTTACTTTCACGTAGGCACACAAAGTCTTATATTTTAAGCTTAAAACTAAAATATTTTTTTTTTTTATAATTTTGTATCTTTTATGCCAAATTTTTAACTTAATTGCATACAATTATTAGATTTTTTCGTGTATTTGCTTCGCGCCGCATCCCAATTGACATTTGTAAGCGGTTTTCCATACCTCGAGCCATTTTGCGCTGCATATTTCAGTTCTGGCCACCTTTTCCACTATTTCACCACTTCTTTAAGCGCGTGCATGGCGTGTATATTTAGTGTATGCTTTGAAAATAAATGCATATCAAATGCAATTCCATTCGCTTTTCGTTGCAACATAAACGCTTGTGCGGTGTACAGACGCCGAAAGGGTCGTAAAAATGTTTCTAATATTTTTTAAAAAATGCCGTTAAGCGTCGTCTACATAACTTCATAACACAAAACGTGCTTTTACTGCCGCCACAGGTCAAATTGTTATATTCAACGATTTTCGGCGTAAAAAATGTGTTCGTTTTCTTTTACACAATTACAGTGCGTCGCACATTCTTTAGGCTAACGCGTCATTCTACTTTAATAAATTAACTAATTTTTATACTTTTCTCAAACAAGTAGGCGTTTTAAAGTCTCTTTTCAAAATTTTCTAACCTCACTTTTCGCGCCGCACGCACTAAACGCACTCCAATTGTTCGCAGGACTTGGCTTTCGCCTTTGATTTGACGCGAGCTTCGTGCACAAACTCGGAGTTGGCATTTTCGAATAATTTATATTCACTCTCCGATTTCTTTTTGCGTATCGTGAAATAGTTTAATAGGTTTTGCACTTTGTGTTGGAAGGACACCGATGTAGTCGTCGAGCCGTGTTCCTTCGTTTTGCTGCTCATTTTCTTCGACGCATGCATCTTATGTTTGCGCGCTTTCGCCTCCTGCGCCAGAAGTAAGTTCTGTTGCATGCGCAGCACCTCTGGCGCCGGCTGTACGTCCTGCAGCTTCAAGCCGTGCAGCAATGAGCCACTCTGAAGGTGTTTAGTCGTTGTAGCAGCGACACTGTTGCTGCTCGTGTGGAAAGAGTCTGCATTGTCCGCTTGATAATGCGCCTCGTCCGCAGAGGTGCCGTCAAAAGTTGTCGAGAAACTAAAGGAATGATTGGCGTTGGTCATGCTACTTTGGATGTGCTCCTCATTGGAGGCACACGAATTGCTTTGCGAGGCGGAGGAATTTAGCTGAAAGTTGACAGACGACTTGCGTGACGTTTGCGTTGAGTTTGTCGTGTCAATGGACGATGATTGGTCGGAGCATATCGAATTGAAATGCTCATCGCCCGAATGCGAACGCGCGAACGAAGCATTTTGCGAAATGCTGCCGACCGTATCATCGTTGTCATCACCGTCAGCGATGGCGTCGCCAGCTTGCGAGGGTTGCCGGAAAAAGCATTGTCGTGGAAATTGTGAGCCTGAAGCGTTGCGCTGAAAGCGATATGTTGACTCATCATCCACCGCGCCTTCCTCTGTGAGTTGTGAAGTCGAATTGTATTTGGTCAAATCGCCACTAGACTTTGAGTTTAGACGCTCGGAACGTTGACTGCCGAAACGCTGCGATGGCGCTGGCGTTGAGAATATTTCCTCCAAGGATTTTTGTATCTCACGATAGAATGCACGATCGTATGTGGGGTCGCGTGGCTCCGCAATGAGATTGGTTGCACTATTCGCGACGCTGCCGCTATGTATAGACGGCGGTGCATGTTTATCGAAATCGGACAATAGCATTACTATTGGCATCATTTTGGTCGTTGTCGCTTCTTGTTGCGCGCGCTTTTGCCTACGCTCAATCGCCAATAACTCGCTATCGAGTGAGAGTTTCTTGCGTCCGACGGCCGGACTATTGCCCAGACTACTAAAGCCGCTGACCATGTGCTCGGATAGTGGACTGCGGTCGTGAAAGGCGTAGGGTGGCAGTGGCGGTTGCGCCACCGGCGACACCTTGCGGAATGGAAAGCAGCTAACGGTGGGCGTAGGCGGTTCGGTGTCTGTGTCGCTCTGATCGGATGTTGGGTAGTCGGGCGCAGGCGCGGGTACGTATTGGTATTGCCACAGCGACAGGGGTGAGCAAGGATAGCGCGCTTGCGACATGTTAAGACCATCCTCTTGACTGCGTACTAGTGCCGGTAGCGGTTGAAGGCTTTGTTGGCGCAGCAAGTGGTGTTGCTGCTGCTGCTGTTGTTGCGCCTTTAGCTTCTTCTTGCTGCACAAAGCGAAGCTTTTCACGGCGTGCGCGCTGTTGCTGGTGTTGTTATGCGTGTTACCGTTATTTCTACTGCTATGGCTATTATTACTGTTATTATTATTATTTTGAATGAGTGTACTACTACTATTATAACTATTGTTACTAGGATTATAGTTGCTTTTGTTTTTGTTGTGAATTTTCGTATCTAGTATGAAGTTATTGCCGACAAAAGTACCGCTAATATCGCTCGAACTACTATTGCTATGATGTGGATGCGGATGCGATGGCGTATGCGGAACCGGATAATGATTATGACTGTTATTACTGTTGTTGTTGTTGTTATTGCTATTTATGATTTGTGGATGTTCGTTTGTATTATTATTATTATTATTACTGTTATTGTTGTTATTGAGTAATGGAAATGTCACCACCGATGGCGTTGATGAGTTGCATGATTTCGAGCTGATCGAATTTGGATTGGAGGAAATGTTGCTATTGTTGCTGTTGTTGTTGTTGGTGGTGGTGATGGTGATGGCGGTTGTTAACGGCATCACACTGCTGGTTGGTGTTGTATTGCAACTACTACTGTTGCTAGTTTTCTTGTTCTTGTTGGTGTTACTGTTGTTGTTGTTGCTATAATTCCCTATAATACAAATACCTGGCTCATTGTAGCCGATGCAAGCATCCGACGCAGCATACCCCGCAGTCGGCGATGTGGGCGAACACGGCATCGAACCGAATTTATACTCAAAATGATGAGCGTGCGAATGATGCGACGGCGGCAAATGTTTGTGCAAATGCTGATGCAGGGTGTGGTGGTGATGGTGTTGATGCTGGTGGTGATGATGATGCGGCGAACGCTGTTGCATCGGCTGATGTTGATGGTGATTGATTTGCGCATAATGCAATTGGGTGGGACGCACGGCTTTCTTATCCAGATTCGGTGCACTTTTGCTGAAGAGCGAATTGGTCGATACCGGTCCCGACCATTCGGTGGCAAGTAGTGCCGGCAGGTGGGGACGTTCACGTTGATGAACGGTCGAAGGACCCCATGTCTTGCCTTTGTAGCCGTCGGGCGGCAATTGTGGTGGGGTTACTACGTCGCCAGACGTAAACAAATTGGAAATCAAAAACGAAAACAAAACGAAAAATAAGATAGAAAAAGTAAATAAATAAAGCGTCAAAAGAAATTTAAAAACAACAGTAAACTATAAATAAAAGCAAAAATAGGCGCATTAATTATTTGATAATAATTATAATAAAACAACAAAAATTAATTGTAATAATAATAATAACAATAATAATAATAATAATAATAATAATAATAATAATAATAATAATAAAATTAATATTAATAATATTAATAATAATAATAATAATAATAATAGCAATATATTTCTAAGCAATAACAACAAACGGTAAATAAAAAATATATTTTATAAAAATTTTAATAAATAAATAAAATCAAATGAAAATCTTTCTTTTACAATAAACCGGATAATTAACCAGCAAAAAAAAAACAGTTAATAAAAAAATATGCTTTGAAAATCAGGAATTAATTTAAAAAGATATGTCTGATACGAATTTCGTTAAAAACTCTCGTTTATTTATTTTATATGTTAGGAAAATTATAAAAATAATTCAGAAAAATATATAAAAAATTCAGAAATAAATTTGAAAAAATAAAAACAAATTTTTTTGTCCTTCCGAGTTTTCCTAACTTAGTTTACATCTTACAAAAAAAAAAAAAAAAAAAAAAATTGACAATATGAAAAAAAAAAAAAAAAAAAAAAAGACGAATTTTTGACCCGCCCCAAAATGAAATCCAATCTAATTTTTCTTTTTTCATAACAAATATTCACTGTACTTACGTGCCACAATGCGCAGCTGGGAAATTGCTGGTGAGCCAGGCGGTGTATCAGTCAATGGCTTGTCGTGTATTGCCGTTACGGTGTGACGGAAGTCGGTTGGTAGTGAAATTTGCACTTCATTATTCTTTTTTAGAAGCTAGAGAAAAAAATTAGCCGTTAGTCGAGTAAGTTTCAAAAAATCAAAAAAACAAAAAAAAAAAAAAAAAAAATTAAAAACTCGGTTGGGGCTTTAATTAGATCAAAACTGAGTTCATAATTACAAACTTGACCAGAACGAAGTTCAGAAACGACTCTGGTTAAGGCGAAGAAGAGGGACTTGTCACTTATACGAGCTTTTTATAGGACCGCGGTAAAGGAAAGCGTTACATTACATAATCTAATTGTTCATTTAGGTGTTGTTGTAGCACTTTGAACAGGCTCCGTAGTGAGTGAGAGCGAGAACGTTATTTATCGATTACTTACTTTGAGTTTCACTTTGCTAAATTTGCCACGCCTACGATTCGGTGTGGGCGTTTGTTGTGCTATCTGGAGTTCACGTCCGATTAAAGCCATTTCGCGCAGCTTCAATTGTTCAGCGAAACGTTTCAGATTCATGGCCTGTTCATCCTGTTCGCTTTGAACACGATTCAAGCGTTCCTCTTTATTGCGCAATTCCTGAGGGAAGTGAAAAAAGTAAAAAGTTGAAAATATATTTACGAAAATATAGGTGAAATTAAAGGATTCAAATATGTGCAAGCGAATTTTTATTTTTTAACGAAATGAAATTATGCAAAAAATGTTATTAATAGATAGTTAAAGTTTTAATAATATATTATATAATATATATATAATTTTCGAACACGTGCAGATTATTATTTGCATATTTGTGAGCAAATCGTTAGCAACAAAATGAGCGCTAAAAAGTGTAAGCATCAGCAAAAATAGTAAAAAAAAAAATACAAATTTTTCAGCAAACATGCAAGATGGAAAAGTGATATTAAGTATTTTTTCAAACAAAACATAGTTTTGTGTTTTTTTTTAATTGTTTTAAACAAAATTAAATATAATTTTTTAACAAAATTTGCAATGAAACAACCATTTAGCTTTTATTCTTTTTCTTTTTTAGCAAATTGGCGGCAAGAAAATGTACACACGTCTTGCTTACCTCTTCAATTGCTTGGAAACGCTGTGTGAAACGTAATCAAATGAATCAGATATTATGTTACACGATTTGTTCAAATATGCAAACAAACAAGAACAACGAAAAAAAATTTAAAAATAAATATTTTATGTAGGCGTAAATGACAAGGTCACTAAACATTTTTAAGTACATAACACTTGATCAAATTACATAAGAAACATATAAATTTGTTTAAATACGCTCCTCAAAGGTAAACACGCACACACATCACACAAAATGACCACTAAATGCTGCCTCCTGCGGGTTAGGGGCTCAAGAATTTACCCGTGGTAAGGCATGCCTGTCGTAAGAGGCGTCTAAGATCCAATAGTTCCCGCTGCAGTCGGGTCTTTATGCCGGAACGCCCCAGATTTATATCCGACCAAGAACTGTTACGTTTGCAGTATTCCCCGAAAACCAATGTGGGGAATATTTTGCGGTTACAACAACAACAACACCACTAAATACTTTACATCAAACAAATGAATCAGTAATCAGCTATACAATATCAGCTAAAACTAACTATAACACTCGCTACAAGTTCTTATAAATCTCTTTTATGTATGTACATCTGCGTTTACACACCTTTTCTTTCAAGCGCAACTCTTGCAGCACCTCGGCTATCTCCTTCTTCCAGGCATCTTGCATGGTATTGAACGATTCCTGTGGTGTTAGCGTGAAACCTGAGCGCGCAATATCCTCCAATTTCGTTAAAATATCCCTAAAACCCGGACGTTTATGCGGATCATTCTCCCAGCAACCTGTGAGTGGATTATTGAATTTTTGTAAATAAAAAATTAAAAAAATAAAAATGAAACAGTTTATACGCACTTTTCATGAGTTTTCCCCATGCATCCGGGCAAGTCTTCGGTATCGGCAACGTTAGCATATTCACCGCAATGCCAAACACAACTGAGTACGAGTCGAAACCTTTGTACGGGGTTTCGCCGGTAATAAGCTCCCACAACAACACACCGTAGCTCCAAACATCCGATGATCTGCAGTTGGAAAAAAAAACAACAAAATCAGAGAGATAATAAGTAAAGTGTTGCGTAAAAATATATTTCAGTTCCGCTATAGGTAGCACAACAACACTTACTTGGAGTACGTGCTGCTCTTTATCACTTCCGGCGGCATCCAGGCGTATGTGCCTGCCGTTGATATGCGTGTTGTGTTGTAAAGTTCTCGCGCCAAACCGAAATCAGTGATTTTTAGTGTTTTATTGTGTAAATTGCCAGCGATGATTTCCTCCAAAATTAGCACTAAAAATAAATTTATAAAAAAAATTAATTTATAAAAATATTATATAAATAAAAAAGGTATAAAGGAAATTGTTAAAAATAATTAATGAAAAAAATCCAAAAAGCGAAAATGGATAAAAAATGTCGAAACAATTTCAAGGCCTTCCGCAACAACAAAAAATATACAAATCCTCATCTCCGTCGCCAACTCACCATTTGAGCTCTTCAAATCGCGATGTATAATCGATATGGGCGCCTCGTTGTGTAGATAGTTCATGCCACGTGCTATTTGTATCGCCCAATTGACCAGCACATCTGGTGGTATTTTACCACGCGCCAATATATGATTTAAACTACCGCCACGCGCATATTCCATCACCAGACAGAGGTCGGTCGGTTTTAGACAGACGCCACGTAACGCGACAATATTTTCATGTTTTACAACCCAAAAGAGTTTTGCTTCCTGTAGCACATTGTCGCGATTCGATTCGACATCAGGCCCGGCTTGCGGCGCGACTTTAATAGCTATTTCCTCGCCGTTATAGTAGCCACGATGTACTTTGGAAAAGCCGCCTGCGCCTATCACTTCGCCTACATCGAGTTCGGCATAGTCAATTTCGTGCGGTTGTATATCACCAATCGCCGAGGGCACGTCTGGCAGCATGGGATCTTGGTCTGTCACAAAGTTACTGGGAAAAATGCCGACCTAAAGGGATGATAAAATAAGTTTAAAAATAGTTTACGATGCGTAGTTTATAAGATAAAAAAAAAAAAAAACAAACATGAATATTTAAACACGTGAATTGATAAGAAATTTTATTAAAAGAAAAAAAAATTGAATACCGAAATTTAAAAAAAGGAAATGTATAGTTTATCTATCGCAAAAAGTTTAAAAAAAATTGTTAATATATTTTGCAAATGCATAACAGCATATTAAGTAGCGCAGTGAAGATAAGGCCCAGATAAATACTTTGGCACCCTTATCAGCTAACCGCTCAAAATAAGCAGAAGGTGAATACATATGAGGCAGAAATGAAAAAAACCAGAATGCCGCTTGTTAATGCAGTTAGAAAATACAAGTCAGCAGCACTGACGTAATACAAACATAACTAGCTATGAAAGCAACGTTGTACTACTTACAAACTTTTTATTTACTAAATTTCTTAAATTTTATATAAAATTTCCTTACTGAGACTTATCCAGACATATTTGTATCTATGTAACCGCACATTTCACAGCGTTTTACATTAAAAATATTCCACGATACCCACCTTATCACCAATCTTGCCCGTCCACCATCCCTCATCACCAGATATATTGCTATCCATTGACAGCACCACTACAATCTGACCGCGACGCAGGGTCAGCTCATCCTCACCCTTGGCATCGTAATCGTACAACACTGACCACAACGGTCCATCCGGCAATGGTGGCAACTGTGTTGTATGTTCGTGTGTGCTGTTGCTGTTATTTGTGCTACCGCCAGCGCCGCCACCAACAACTGCATTTTTTTGTTGTCGCTGCTGCTGATTGACATTGCTATCGTTCTGATTGGGACGTTGCTTTACAGCGACGATTGCGGTGGCGTTAGAGGCTTCTTCTGTGTTGCGCTTCTCGTTTATGGCGAGCATTGGTTTAGCTTGTGGCGTCGCCGCCGTTGTCGTAGGCTCGTTATTCGTTAAACAGTGTGCGGGCATAAAAGTGGGTTAATAAGTGCTATACGAAATATTTAATAATAAAAAAAAAATCATAAATACTGTCCAGCCGCTTGAGGTTGTCTATTGTCCTCTAGTGCTAGACGCGAAAGTGTGTACAGTGGTAAGTCTCTCGTGCAACCACTTGTCAGCCATTCGTTTTTGTAGCACCGGTAAGGTACACGTAATAATTCTGTTGATAAAAGGAAACAGTGAAGAGTTGGTTAAAATGTGATAAGAACAAATTGATAAATAGAAGGAAGGTCAGCATATTCGAAAGGTCTATGTTAAGTGCAAGTGTAAAATCTCTGAAGTAAAGGGTTAAAAATAATTGAAAAAAAATAAATAAATAGAAATTGTTATTGTTTTGCATATTATAAGCGTCTTGTATTCCCACAACAATAGACTGACACTTCAATCAAAACACTCGACACCAATTGCTTGCAGCCTATGCTTCGCATCATGCTTTGTAGATACTACGCCTTCAAATTGTTTAATCTGGTGGAGAGTCAATTATATTGTTTACCTGTAGTTTACACAGTCAGTCTTCAGCACACTTATTGTTTCACCACAACCACGTTCTAATGGTTAACAATAGTTTCGTTTTGGTAAAAAAAAAGTTGTTGCCGCCTACCGTCTGGCCAGCAGAAATTTTATTCCATTCGAAGTGGAACTCCCTTTTGTGCTAGCTCTGCTTCTTCTTCAACAATGTCGTGTTGTTTTTTTTTTTTCTTTTTTTGAGCTAACTTCACTTTTTATGTTTACGTTGTATTAGTTAAATATTTTTCGTTTACAAAAATTTTGCAGCTTCCTTTTTTAAATACTCCTTCGTATTTGGAGTAATCCACCGCACGGAATTTAATTTATTTGCTGCTATTCAGTGCCAGTCACAGATTCTTATTTTTATCTTTGCAATACTTTTTATTTTTTGCTTCGTCGTCGTCGTTGTCTACTTCTTCGTAGTCGTGCAGCAGAGAAATTACATTTTCACAAAATTCATGTGCAGCACTTTGGTTTCGTTCGTTTTTCGGGTCGTTATTTATTGCGGATTTCTATAAAATTTAGTTATTTCTAATTGTTAATACACAAGCGTTCAGTTTCCGATTAGTTTTATTAAAAATTGATCGCGTTTTTATGCAAATTTTTAATCATTTGCAAATCTTCGTACTAAACTGCTGCTTTTCGGTTCCACTTCAATTTCATATACTACATGTCGTCTTTTGATATTTCTCTTTGTTGCCACATTCACACTTCGCCTTTTTCGTATTGCCACCGAGAGGTGGAAATTCAGATTAAACTGTTATTAGATTTTAAACCAAGCATGAAAGCTAAGATATCAAATTAATTCAATAAAAGATTAAGCTACCGAATAATTCTCTGAAATATATTTAATTTGCAAATTACAGCAAATAATACAAAAGTCATTTATTTTATAACTAAATTTGACAAATCCGCTTCATGTAGTGGCAGCACTCTCATTTTGGTTTGTGTTGTTGCTTGCTGTACAAAATCATTCACCACCGGTTTGTGTCTCTGCTAACCAAGTCGACATTCCTTACGGTTATGTAGAAGTACCGTTTCTCGGTCTTCACTTCCGTCATATGATACGCCATTTTGCAGCTGACAGCCAATTAGTTAACTCGTAAATCTGTGTCGGCATCCGGTTAATAAAAGCTAACAAAATATTTCACTTATTTACGGAGGGTGTTTAATAATTCCGATACGGTTTGCTAATATATGTGTTTGTGTGATTGCTTGAAAGTGAATATTCACCGTGAGAAGTCTCCAAGCGCCAAGCATGCGTCGCAAGGAAAATCCACTCTTGCATCCAGCATCTCTCTCGGACAACTTCCGCTCCTGTGGTATGTTTCCTCAACTGCTGTCATCACGCTGTTCGCAATTGCTGCCAGCGCAACGTTGTGAAAATTTTTTGGTGTGTGATATGAAAATTCGCTCAGTAACGCGCAGGAATTTAACGAAAACGTACATGAAATGTCGTCTAACGCCGCGAGTGTACTGCATATCATTGGCATTTTCACAGAAATTTTCTTAGAAAATATGAAAAATTAAATTTTGCCAATGGCCAAAGGAATATTTAATTATTGTGCAACGTCGTAGCGAATGTGTAAATTTTTTTTGCGAAAATCCTGCAAGTACAAAGCGCTAAAGTAAATTTATTGTGTCCACAAAAAAAAAAAAAAAAAGTGCAAAAAATGTGTGCAAATGTGTGTACACGAATAAGTGTAAGTGTGCGGGTGAAATATTGTACAAACATATATACATAGGTACCTACATACATACATATGTATGTTCTGCATGCCGTGAAGCTGGCGATGGCGGCCGAAGAGCTGTAGTGTGATTGGAAAATGTTGCAAACGACTTGGCTGCTGCGACCCACTCCTCACACGCCCTATTTACCCACTTAGCGAATGTCAGTCAGTGGTTAGCAGCGAGCAGTGAGCAGCATACGGCGCGCCGCAGTCGTATGTGCGTTAGCAGCTGTTAAAAATGCGTGTACATTAAGTTGGCTGCTTGAACGCGGTAGTGTAACTGCGTGTGCTTGCGTTGCGTGTTGCAAGCGAAAATAAAAATTAATTTTTGACAATTTTTTTCTTCTTCTTCCTTCTTTGAGCAGCTGCAGGCGACGGTTGAGCAAAGCCGTGCAGTAAATTACTTACTTAACCTAAAAATGTGTAGAATACAATACTTTTGTATACTATAAATTGCTAATATGTATTGTATGTATGAGTACGCATATGTGCGTTTGTATGTATTGAGCTTGCCTTGACACACACTGATAGCTGCTTGTGTGCTCTTTTTTTAAATTTATTTGCATGTCGCCGCGTGTTTAGCAACAAATCTTGTGTGCGTATACATGGATATGTTTGGTTGGTGGGCGTTTCAAAGTGAACACCCACTGCAAATTGTTGTTGTATTGATTGTATGTTCAATTAGTAACCGCACGTTTATGCATTAACCCATTAGCGTCAAATGTAAACCACAGCAGATGAACGCTAATGCTGCGCTGCGCTGCGCCGCGTTGCGTCTTGTTAATTTCATTTTGGCTTTTTGGCAGCGGAGAATCAAATTCATTAATGACAACAACACTAAACAACAACAAAAATAAACATAGACATTTGATGCATCGTGGAAATGCATAAATATGTAAATTATCAGCAATTTACTAAGCTAACGGTGAATAATGTGATTTAGATTGAGCCAAGCAATTGTGTATACGCCTTAGCGCACACATACATATGCATGTACATACATACCCATATATATTCATGCTTCTTAAGCGTGTAGCACACTGTAAGGCGTAGTGCAAAATTTTTCGCTCCACCGGTAAGCTTGTCGCAAGCGTCAAGTCTGTGCAGGTTGCTGCGCCACTTTTTCCTGCGTCCCGTTGCCAATATTCTCACGCGTGCCCTTTTGCTTTTGTTAGCATTTCTTTTACTTCTAATGCTGCTACTTAGCATATTAACAGCAGCAGCAGCGCATATCCTCATTAAGAAATCCAGTAACAGCTGGATAAGGGCGACAGTAACGCACATTAATAAAAAACAACAACAACAAACGATAAAAAATGTGAATAGCACGAGCAAGCACAATACATAAATATGTACATACTCACGCCAACAACGAGCCATCTTCTGCAAAAATCATGAGCCAGCGACCATTCTTGTTCTGCTGCTGGCTGCTGAATGTTGCTGCTGCTGCCACGGTAGCTACAATTCTTACTGTGGGCTTTCGGAAATGTTGTTGCTGGAATTTTTTCTGTGTGCTTTTTTTTGGCATTTGCTGCTGTCCTTAGTTCTATCTGCCATTTAACGTGACCATTGTTGCTGTTACCATCGATTTATGCAGCTATCACTGCTGTGCGCTGGGCTGAGTTGAGCTGAGCTGAGTTAGCGAGCTGCTGCTCATTTCCTTTGGTGTAGGTGCGGTTGTTAATACAGTTTTATGGTACTGTTAGTTTAGGTTATGTATCTTTTGGTTGTTAGTTCTTGTTGTGGTAGATGTTGTTTTTGTTGTAAAATTCATTGTTTTCCCTGCTAATGGCGCTGCTTACCGTCCTAAGAGCTATGTGGTCGTGTGTTTGAGAAATTTCGGCATATCGAAAGTGTTGTTGGTGGCTAGCGGATTGAAGAAATCTAATAATAATGTAAACTTACTGTATGAGCCTTGCCGAAATTAAAAAAAAATTATCTGATATTTTCAAAGGATTCGTGAAATATTACAGTTATATTAGCTTAAATGGACAAAAAGTGCGTTAAATAAATATTCTTTATTTAATGAGTGAGTTTCCGTATTGATATGTTGAGTTTACGGAGCTGTCAAGTGGATTTTAATAAATATTCTTGGCTGAAATTAAGCTAAAAATTGAGTCGGAGTTTCTATACAGCTGAATTCCTATGTTAAGCCGATGGAGCACTCAAGTTCATTTTGATTTAGAAATTCTTTTCGCTTCAGCTTCATGATTCTTGATTACTACTCAGCAAAATGCGGCCTCTTCTATAATTTTAATTTCAAAAACTATTTTTATTAAAGTTTTAATATTTTTCTACCAAACTTTTCGTATACTTTTCCTGCTCATTCGTTGTGGACAGCTGGTAGCATACGTGTATGTGTAAATATCGCAAAACCGTCTCTTTCGCCACACACAATCGGGTGCAACTGTCGAACTGCCTTTAAACGCCTTCACACTTCTATCCCTTGTCTTTCGCTGACATTCACATAACCGCTTATCGATAACTCTGCCGGCCATCATGGCGTCCTCGTTCCTCTGCGTACGCAACTGCTTGTCGATTATTGCCAGACGTCCAACCAGCTGTCAGTTAGCCGTGTGTCTTTCGCATGTAAAATTTTGACGGCATATCCGTGTTGGCTGCTGGCGGTTCTGGCATGTGCGTACGAGTATCTTTTCGTGTTGACGTGTGTGTGTGAGTGCGCGCGTGTTGTTGAAGTATGTGGTCCTGCTTTGTAGGTTCAGTAAGAATGGCGCTGTCAATGCTGTTTCCGCAGTCATTTCGCAAATTTTTGTAGGCCAAGTTCTTTCCTATTCACTTATTTGACTTCCTCATGTGGCATGCAAACGTGTTTTGTTTGTTGCTTTTGTTTAGTGCGCGCTTTTTCGTCCCTTTTTTGCAAAGGCTAGGCTTGTGGTTTCCGTAAAATAACTGTTACAGTTATTTTAGCCATGCTGAGCATAGGAACAGCTCTTTCAAGCAGACAAAGGTTGGCGAAGAATTGGGATTAGCCTCATTCCTTCCTTCTTCCTAACAGCGAGAAGCTGCAAAGGAACTATGAAGTCTCGTTTGAGGTCTTTATTTACCTAAATCCCCGCTGACGTCTGTTTACTTGCCCACCGGGTTGTCTCAAAGCACACTCACGTTCACATTCGTCATCGCCAAGCCGAAAATATTTGAAACCGATGAACTAACCTAAAAATTAAAAAAAAAGCGTGAATAATTCCAATCTCTTTTACGCAGTTAAGTGTTAAAAACCAGAGTGTTAAGCTGAAAAATTCAAATATTTAATAATAAAAGGTTTTGGAAATTAACCAAATCGGAAAAAAACGAAAATTTGCTCAAGTGTAAAATGCATAAACCCCTTAAAATCGCCGGTAAACCGTAAATCAACACGCGTACCGCTTCTACTAGCGTACCGTCTGCTGCGCCACAACGACAATGAATATTCGTCATAGTTGAGGGTACGTGTTCGGTGTACGGTGCGCGTTTATTGTGCCGTACATATATACTACAAAACGCGATACGCCACGACGTAACGTACAAGAACAGTTTACAAAATTCGTTTTAGTAATTGTTGTGCGACACTAGTACGCCGTCAGTGCTGACCCAACGCCAAACGCGTAGCCTGTAATCGTGTACGGGCGCTGATTTTGTTGCAATGCAAGCGAATAATAGTGGCGGACAGCAGCGAACAGCTTTATCGGCACAATCATCGGGTACACCGTCGCAATCAACGATCTCGTCATCGGGGAAGGTAAGTTTGGTAAATTTGGTACCCAAATATCTGCCACAAAGATATCGGTAGTCAGTAATTCAAACTACAGTAGTTCGGTTACTTACACTACACACACATCCACCACCACAAGTTGTATAAGTCGTCTGAGAATTACAAGTTAACCAATCAAACTCAACCAAAACAGTTTCCAAACACGCTACCCAACATGCTTATCCAGGCGAGGAAGGACGAAGCAAAAGCAAAACCAATTCACACGCACTAATCCACTCAAAGTAGCGCTTTGGGATTGTCATTGAGAGCTCTGCACCAAGTTTGAAGTGCTAAACAAAGCAGCGATATGTCCCACGTGTCGTCCATATACGTACACTCGCTTACGAAGTATAATCTGTAAACGTGTCATCATGCATAGAGAGTTTTATTGCATTTCCAACAAAAATAAGCTTTACGACCGCAACTTAACTCGATGTGTGTGTGGGACTCGTAAATCAAGCATGCTAATAGAGAGATAAAATGGAAAAGAACATATCGTGGAAGCACTCGCCGTTTACAAAGTTTAGCTAAGCAGCTCAATTGGCGAATATGCACAATACATACAGTGACTGTTGATAAAGATAAGTCAGCTAGCGACAATTTAATTAAGCATCCAACCCGAATAAAGCAACCAAAGTAAACGCGGCTCCATAAAATTTACAATAATTTGGATATTCGAAAGGATAGTGCGAGCAACGAGGCGTTGCTGAAGTAGCAGAAATAAAAGAAAAAAATCTGCAGGAGAAGTGAGAATAAAAAGAAAAAATATGTACGGGAGTGGTTGAAAATTGAGGGAATAAAAAAATCTGCGAAGGAACCGCCGAAAATTTAAGAAACAAAAAGTAAAAAATAAAAGGAAAAAATTAGCAAGGGAAGGTGTTAAAAATTGAAGAAATAAAAAGAAAAAACTTGCAAAGGAACCGCCAAAAATTTAAGAAATAAAAAGAAAATTTTTTTTTTATGTGACCCAAAGGATGCTCATACGTAGAATGCGCGCTTACGTGTCGTGTGCAAAGAAAGCCGTGGACATAATCTAAAAAGAGGCAAATTTTCTTTGTTTGCGTATTTTACGAGTATGCTCGACTTTCCCATTCTTTTGTTTGCTGACTGTTGAATGACTACTGAGTCACAAGCAATTGCAGTTAATGATTGTAGCAAAAGTACTCTTTTATACTCACATAGACATTCTTTGTCATTTATTTTTTGAAGATTATCTCTTTCAAATGTTGGCCGCATCTACGTCTCAGATGGTTGATCCGTGGAGTTCACAATTTTCGATGACTCGTAAAAGCATCTTGGCGGGTAACTGGTGAATGACACGCGCGATGTTTTGCTTCAAGGCCTGAAAATAGTGATATCACACGATTATGGTGGCCATTCGACCGGGCCACGCCTCAAATAATCTGATCATTGATTGATGCAATGTTTGGGAAGTGGCGCCGTATTGTTGAAATCAAATGTCGCTGAGATCACGAGCTTTATTTCCATGCATTAAATAGACGGTTGTCATGGCGCGATAACGGTCGCCATTGCCGGCTACGTTCTCACAGGCGTAATTTTTGAAGAAATATGGACCGATGATTTCACCGGCACACAAACCTCACTAAACCGTTGTTTTTTCTCCTTCTGGATGAAATGACAGCTCTTGAATCTCATCAGGTTGCTCTTCGCCCAAATGACGGCAATTTTGCTTGAGCCAGAAATGGGTCTAATCGCTGTTGACCAAAAAGTGATTAAAACAAAAAAATTTATGGATCTCACTCTATATATACTCTAATGAGAGCTCACTCTTCTCAAAGTATACTGTGTTCTGTGAGAATATGTTAAAATAAGAACTAGAAGAAAAAATTCCACAGAGCGATGAAGAAAATCAACGTGCTTGACGGACTAGACAAAACCACACTCTCAAGAAACACGCTGTTGCTGCTATACTTCGAATTTGAGGAATAAAATGAGGGTTTTTCTTGTTAATTCCCTAGAAAATACTCTTAGGAATAATATAGAAGTCGTCCTGAAGGTTCGCAAGGCCATAGAATAGTATAGAAGAGGGGAGAGCGGAGCGTGCCAAGCAGTAAATCCGCCCACTCGAGTACTTTAACCGCCTTTTTCTTGCAACCACGTGTTTTCTACTTGTTGACCTTTTGAGCTTATCAACATAAACTAAACGGCATTTTATACTATACTTTTGCGGAATACACTAAGAAATGATTCTGCAACCGTCGTCACTTAAAAGAAAACTCACTCTTCCCTACCGATCAGCCAGATTTACGAGGTGTGACAATTAAGTAATGAGACTGATTATATTGCCACGATTGTGCTAACCCTTCGACCTTGAAATTCACTTTCCCTTCTCATCTCCATTGATATCTTTGCCATCGCTCTAGCTTGTTTAGTTCCCCCGATATGTCTCCCTGTGACTGTTTTTGTTCTCTAGAACAAAATCGGTGGTCAAAGGTACCCATTTTGAGTCGATTGAGGACATGCAGGTGGCCGTGAGGAGGATACTCGCGAACATCCCTGTCGAAGCTATCGTTGTATTGCTGCCCAAACGTGACTACTTTGAAGGGGACGGCAGAGTTGTAGTTTATTCTCATTACTTAATTGTCACGCCTCGTGAACTTAGGTGAACCCACAAGAGCAAAACTATCCAAAAACCGTAGCCAATTTCATTGTATTATTACGGCTTAACACAAAAAAAAAGCTGTGAGTGCGCGATAGGACACGTCAGTACCGTTATGTGGCTTAAACCAAAATAAAATAAAAAAATATGGCTCAAATAATGAAATGTGTAGGAATAAAAGAAAAAAAAAGACCAAAACAATATAAAGAACCCCGCTTGTCAGCGTGTGGGTATTAAAACATAAAAGGATCGCCGTGCAGTCATTTTTCAATTTATTCAAGCCTTGTACGTATGTACGTAGGCGTGTGCCCGCAAGAGCTCGAGCCCTCCATTCAACGCATCGATTGGCGCGGAGCACTCATACTTGAGGCCACACAAAAACACAATTGAAAATTGTAGACAGTTGTCCCCAGCGGCGGCATAGAAACGGCATAACCCTACATATTCGACTATGCATGCGCGTGAGTGTATACGTATTGGTTATATTACTTTGATTAGTGCACTTGACTGCACACATACAATAGTTATTAGCCTGTTTTTAGGCGCAGCAGCACTTCATACACCCGCTGGTAGAGGCAAAAGTCAGCAGCTCTACATTTTCATTGCCCTTTGCTGTTTTTGTTGTAATTACTGTTGTCGAAAGGGACACTCGGTTAGTGTTATACACAGCCATATTTATGCATGCGAACTGTAACCCATACACTCTGGACTCCACTGCCCAGTCCACAGCCTGTCAATGTATAATGGATTCGTTTATGGTCATCACCGACACATGAATTTGATTGTTCACTTGTGTATTGTATTCATTTAGTCAACTAGTTAGTTGTTAGTCGTCAAGTCTGTATGTTTGCATGTCCGTTTGCTCCATCTCGTCAACCAATAATCGCTTGCATTTCAATTGTCCTGCAATGGTCAGCTCGACAATTCTACAAACTAACGGTGTTGCTGGCATGATATTGAATACATATAGAAGTTTTGAATTTTTCACACAAATGGCCAATAAATGTTTGACTCTTTGTTTGACCTTCTATGTAGTTTGTCGGTCGTCGGCTGAAGGAAGAGCGCTGTGCATAGATAAAGGTTAATGCGGTGCAGTGAGTGAGAGAGAGAGAGAGGGGGAGTCAAAGTTATGTCTGTTGCAAGGGCGTAATTGTCAGTGTAATTGAGAGATTAGAGCTTAGTGACTTGCATAACTGTTTAAATTAACAGTTGTAATTGAGTGGGGATTGAAGAGTTGAAAATGAATGATCACCAAAATGAATGGTTGGGTGAGTTCGTGGCACTTGGAAGTTAATATGACAGAATTTATGGCATTTTGAATGTGAAGAGATAACGATAACTGTGCGAAGAGGCTTGAAATTGCTCAAAAATTGATACTTCAGTAAAAAAGGCGTGGATGAACGTTAAGTTATTGTAAGGAAGCTCTAAGTAAGCCGAAGAGCAAGCTATACTCTTTCTTCACTTGCTTGGAAAGTAAAGTCTCCATTTCACCTGAATAAGCTAGGGTCTGTAGAAAGCACACGTACCGTTGACAGCGAGAGCTAAAAAGTTATTTCACCAACCTCCATGCAGTGCAATTTGTGTCGGAGATTTTACTCACCAGATTCAAGCTCGGAAGCACCTGCCAGGGCAGTTAAGGTGATTTCAGTCCAAATTTTTCTCTACTTCAAAGTCGCGAAATCTGTGCCGAGACATTAACCGAGTCTTTTAGTCTCCGTTATACAAGCTCAAAAGAACCTGCCACCGGCCTCGTGTTTTGGTATATTTCCAGCGTTTTCCAGCTGCTTTTCGTAAGTTTCTAGCGCCGATATCGATGAAGCGTAGCTCGTGATCCAATAGCTGTCTTTTAACACCGACGTCCTACAGAGCTTATGCACCCATATTTCATAATGCTCAGGAGGAAATTGAGTTATTTAGACGGGCCTTGCATGCCCAGGAGAAGCTGCTCAGTGTATTTAATTTAGTGTTTTGGCAACTTTCCCCACTTTCCTCGCCATTTCCTCAAGCTCCATGTTTTCCCAGCTGAATTACGCAAGTCTCTGGCATTTATGTCGGTCGGTTGGTGTGACCGATGTACTGTTTGCCCGATGAAAGAAGCCTCATGTCCCGTCTTTGGCATATCCTTTAAATGCTGTCCAAGTTGATGATTCTACAGAACCTATGTATGCCCATGTTGTAATCGCAGGATAATATTGAGACATTCAGTCTACTCCTCATGAGCTCAGAAGAGTCTGTCCGGGTTTTCACTTGTACTCTACTAATTTTCTGTTCTTCTAGCCTGCAGGTCTCGCAAATCCCTAGCACTGATATTTGTTGGGGTTGCCTTGTAATTGGGGTTGTTGTTGTTGTTTTCGTTGTTTTAACCGCA